GAGACTAAGGTGCGTCTGATACAGGCCATGGTCTTCGCAATCACTTGTTATGCATCAGAGTTGGACAATGACTAAGGAGGATAGAAGGAGAGTTGATGCCTTTGAGCTGTGGTGCTGAAGAAGAGTATTGAGAATACCAAGGACTGCTATTAAAACAAACAGATTCATCCTGGAAAGGGTTAAACCGGGTGGATCTTTGGAGGCCAGGATTCTGAGGCTCCATCTAATATATTTTGAACATGTAAGGAGGAACCAGTCCTTGGAGAAGGACATCATGCTTGGTAGGGTGGAGGGACAGCACAAGAGGGCATGGCCCTCTATGAGGTGGATTGATTCAGTGACTGGGGTAATCGGGGTGAGTGTATCGGAGACAGTGCGATTGGCGCAGGACAGAGCAGAGTTTAGGGCTGTTGTACATAGGGTCGCTATGAGTCGCAAGTGACTCGACGGCACATAACAACAACAACAACATATAAGAATTCCTTTTATGAACAAGGTCTCCATGTATGCATTTATATAACTGCTTATAAATTTATTAATTGGTAAATGAGCAACTTTTATTTTTGATGGGCACATGCAAACTTCTCCATTGGGAAAATGCATTCTAAGTATTAATTTAGAGCATAGAAGTGGGAATCTCAATTATACAAATCACAACTCATTTGACATAATTCCTTTGTGACTTTCTGATCCAAAGAGATTCAGGTAGGTCTGTGCTTAGAAGCTTTGTTGACTGCATAATGCATAAAAACTTCCTCTCAAATCCAACTGCTCATAAACACATGGTCCCAGAGGCACATGTATTTATACTTACCACACATAAATACCCACTACCTCAAAAATTCTTATTATCTAAAATTGTTTCAAAAGATTGTTTGGAAGTGATCGTGTTATATCTTCAGTGCTCAAAAGAATTTTCTTGTTCGAGTTTAGTTTTCTTCTAACAGATATGGAATATTTTGCTGCTTAAGGTACTTTGTATTTTCTGAGAAGAAGCTTCTTAAAATGAGCAGCCAAAAGAATCCAAAGCAATTCAATGCAGAATATATGTTGATTTTACAGTTTTGCATACTTCTGGTTATATTTATAACTATCACTGCCATAATGAAATAATTTTTTACCTTCTTTGTTTCACTATAATGAAACAAATTTGTATGTATCCTTATATGTTGTTAGTTTCATTTCCTCTGTAGGAATTTCTGATTATCATTTTATTTT